GGGGGGGGGGGGGGGGGAGAGTGCAGAATGGATGACTCAAAAAGAAACGCTTTTTATTTTCCAAACAAGCAACATTTTTATTCATTATGAATTTATTGAGATGCGGAGAGAGAAGGGGAAATGACTTCACAGCTGAGCCGGAGTCACTTTGGGGGATTGGGAGGACAATACAAATCATGATCAGAAAATGACGAAATATTCGTACGCAAGCTAACAAGGAAGAAAAAAGCATGTTCATATAGGAAGTAATAAACATCATTTACATTTAAGTCTGACGGCAATTTCAATATGACTTTAAGCAATTTTTTCACCATCAGGGAAAACGGTAAGACGGCGAAAACATGATTTAAAAAAAAACAGCTCTAGAGGGAAAAGTGAGAGTCCCTTTTAGTTGATATTTCAGTTAATACCAGTTTAGAAGCTTTTATCTAGTATAAAGATTTATAAAGTTATTATCAGTGCACTGGATTTATCGGAATAACACAATTATTTTGTAGACATAAATAAATCTTATTTAATTTTCGTGGTTTTGAGGGCAGCAGACTTAGGAGAGTTCTTCCCTTTCCCCAGACACTTCCTCCAGCTCCACCGGGGGGATCCCGAGTCGTTCACAGCCTAGCCGAGAGACATAGTCCCTCCAGTGTGTCCTGGGTCTTCCCTGATGCCTCCTCCCATTGGGAAATGCCTGGAACACCTCTTTAGGTAGGCGTCCAGGAGGCATCCGATACACCCCGAGCCACCTCAGCTGACTTCTCTCGATGGGGAGGAGCAGTGGCTCTAGTCTGAGCTCCTCTCAGGTGACAAGAGCTCCTCACCCTATCTATAAGGGTGCACCCTGCCACCCTGTGAAGGAAATTTCGGCAGCTTGTATCTAAGATCTTACCCTTTCGGTCATGACCCAAAGCTCATGACCATAAGTGAGAGTCGGAACGTAGGGTCACCGGTAAATCAAGAGCTTTGCCTTTCGACTCAGATCCTTCTTTGCCACAATGGACAAATACATCGACCGCATTACTGCTGCTGCACCAATCTGCCTGTCGATCTCACGTTTCATCCCTCACTCACTCGTGAACAAAACCCCAAGTTAAATAAATAAATCAAACAGTGCTGAATCAACAGAACTAAAAAGTCATACTCAAGTAAAAGTAACCTTACTTTCCCAAAGATGTAGTGCAAGTAGAGTAACACTAGCCCAATAGCACTGAAAGCTGAATCCTGAACACATGATTGTGCACTAGACAACATCAGTACAATACATCATGTAACATTCACCAGAGATTAAGCCTTATAGAAGGGCTTTCCAAACCCCAAAATAACTCCAGTGACTCGCGACCCTCATTATGCTCAGAGATAGTTACAGACATACAGATATTCCACACAATGGTGCACACTCACCTATAGGAACTATATAAACACGAGCATACTAACAATGCAAAAAAGTGAACAGTCTAACAACCATATAATTATTTATAGTCATTACACATTTGTTTAATTTAATATTAATCGCCGTTGATGAGAATGGTGGGCTCAATGTTTACAGCACAAGACTGAGATTTTTGGTTGAATTTTGGAGACCGCCACTTGTAGATCATCCTCCTGTTCAGTCGTGGGCTTAATGTACGTGAGTGCGTAAAGGTGTCAAAGTTTAACATTGTGCCGTAAAATCAATCTGCCGCAATTAACACTGTTGCTGTGACGTTGATCTAGCGTAATAACCCCAGGGGTCGAACTACAATGGAAAAAACATTTAGAAGCAGAGTGAAGTTTATTCATAAACTAATTTCGAGAGGAGCACGTGATTATGATTGAACACGGCTGGTTCTGCATTAGCATGCATGATCCACCAATCAGGTCATTCCTAACCCACTATAAAGAGCCAGGGTTTTTTCACTACAGTCATCTTTGATTTGAAGAATCCCCCCTTCCACCCCTACCTCTTCACCTTTCCCTCCATAGGGCAGCACGGTGGCCCAGTGATTAGCACTGTCGCCTCACAGCAAGAACGTCATCGGTTCTAGTCCTTTAACTGGCCGGTGGTCGTTTCTGTGTGTAGTTTGCATGTTCTTCTCGTGGGTTTTCCCCGGGTCCTCCGGTTTCCTCCCACATTCCAAAAACATGCACAACAAGTAAATTGATAAATCTAAATTTTGCACTACAGTTAATCTCTCACCATGAAGCATATATTTTCATAGCATTCAATTTTTAGTCATCAGTTTTTATCAAGGGGGAGTTGTCGAGATCTACCTGAGCTCAAGGCTCCCTCTCGCCCTCCAAACGGGAGGGAGCCCAGGGCTCAAGATCCTTTGAGCTCAGGGCTCTCTCCCGGGACAGCATGCCAAGCTTGCTTATAATCAATCATCAGCTAAGTGTGAACTCTTGAATTGCTTTTTATTTGCATGTTTTTATAATGTAACCATTTTAATGTACCTATAAAAATATATATGAAATATATTATAAGTTAAAAACTACTTTTTTTCTGTAGGTTACGGATAAAATACGGTAATTCGAGAATTTTGGAAATCACCAAGTGTTACGACTGAAGTTTATTTATTTATTATTGTGGATTGTACTCTGTCTTTATCTTTTGTCCCACCTTCTTGTTGTTTTTCTGTTGTCTCATAGGCTCCCATACCGGCGTGATTCCCTGTTCTGATTGGCTGCTGGTCTCAAAAGCCTGTATATAAGGGAGCTTCCGGCAGGGTTCAGAGAGCTCATTTTTGTGCGTTCGGTGTTTGGAGCAGAGCTCCTGGGTTTCCCTCACCCCTCCGGCCGACGACCAAAAACCAATATTGTACTGATGACCATCATACGTTAAAATATTTTTGAGAGTTTGAGCGTGTAGGGGTGACCTGCCTATTTATTTGATTACTTTGTTTATGTTTAGGGAGTAGGGTAAGCTTTATGTATTTTTCTTTAAATAGTAATAAGTAATTTAGTGGATTTACTTTATAGATTCTTTTGTTTGTTATTTTGGCCTGTGGTCACCCTGAAGAAATGCTCATTTATATTAACCACATTTTTCTATAATAAATCTATCCATATATACTCTCAACTGAGTGTGTGAGTTTGGTTGTCGACCGAAGGCAATCTTTTGCTTTAAGTTTGGTTTTGTTTGGGAAATCCACCACCCCAACACATTTGTTTTTTCTTCGTTTATTATGCCCTTTTTGTTTCCCCTAGACTTGGGGCGTAATACCAAGTGATCCCTTGCATTGTCTCATGACCCCCACTTTGAGAACCACTAGGTTATAGTAAGTAATTTAAAAAGAAGGGTAATTTGTTGATGTCTGCCATACTCTGAACAGCCAATGATATACTAATTACTGCACAAAGGTATGCAATTACATATTTTGACAGGCATGTAGGACAGCCAATCGTAATATTCGGACCAAACATTCTGATTGGACAAACTTCTCTTAATCTTAAACCTTCTACGGAATATCAAAACTAAATACATTTGGACCACTTCATTCAGGATGTGAAGAGACCTTCAACTAGCATATCATAAATCGCTTCTGACGACAATCACCTAGTTAAAATTGAACGCCTATTAAAAAAATCTAAGTGTGTAACTTTGTATTGGTACTCACTTGAGTGGAATACGTGGGACGGCGGTGGGACTGGAGATGGCGGTGACAACTTGAAGGATTTGCTCCAGAGCAGACAAACCCCCTCCTACTTGAAACGCTACCTGATCAGCATTATTCTGAAAAAGAGTGATGGAGACAACAGAGAGAGACAGTCACAAAAATGGAGAGGCGAGCAGACTCAAGTGTCACATTGTTTTGGCTTTGCGGGTATCCTCTCGTTGCCCACCTCCTGCTACATAGAGGGGAGCCGAAGTGAAATCTGAAACAAAGCGATCCCCAAAGAATTCCTGCTAAATCTCAAAAGTGCACAACCCTTCCCAGCCCCCCTACAGCAACCAAAAACCAACACAGGACAACAAACGCACATATCTGCACACAAAGCAGGGGTGGTCTGGTTTGACAAAGAAGGGCTTAGGGAATACAAAGAATGAGTCAAAATTTTGACTGGACCTGAAACACTTTACGTCACAAATTTACTTGAGCTTAAAGTGTGGTTGGGTCAAAATATATATATAGCATTTATGTACAAAAACGAAGCTGAACTTCCAAACCAATGTTTTATTTGACAACTTCAAATAAATGCGGTGTGATCATGTAAAAGGCATTAAACAACATGCTCAACTATATAGTCAATTTTCATATGAATAGCATTTTGAAAACGGCAAACTGGACAAATAAAAAAATCGAAATAAGTTATGACTAGGGTTGTAACAATATACCGGTATGACGGTCTACCACGATTTGAACGTGCACGATTATCATACCATGAACAATTGCATATCAACGGTTTTAACCCTTAAAGACAGAGACAGCCGCCCGCGGCTAAAAATAAGTATTGCTCTTAAATGTTTAATAACTTTTGATCCGCTGATCCGATTCATACAATTCAAAGATTGGCATAAAGAAGAGAATCTTTCCTTTCCAGTGCTGTATCACATAACATTCGCGGCTCCGGAGGCTCCGGAATCAGTGCGGTTACGTCATCAAAATTTGACAACGCTGATTTGACAAAGAAACGCTCGTCACTGTGTCTCCGGAAAAACCAGACACGATACATTGATGCATTGTCCCTCCTCCATGCCCAGATTGGTTCAAACTCGCTATATCACAACCAATAAGCATAGGTTTCGCTTTTGTTTGTGGACCAAGCTTTTTGAACAACACAGAATGAGAGATAGGCATACATTTATGCGTGGCTAAATAAAACGCAAAAAAAAAGTTTTGCATGAAATAATTCTCATACTAAGTACTTTTGCATGCACAGCAGCACAGAAGCATGACAAAACAGTGACACAGCAAAGACGAACTGCTGCTCTTGCTGTTTTCAAAAGACGCAAATGAAGGTGCAGCTGTTTGTCTGCATTACAGACAACCATATCCAAATCCATATCCACAGACAACCATATCCATGCTGGCACATAAAACCTAAGGATGTTCCATATTGAATCTAGTTTCGTTATGTAACTACTTATAGTACAGTAAATATTTATATCTATTTTTTTACTGAGGATTTGCACCATGTTTATTTGGACTTTATTTGGACTTTGACACATTATTTATTATTTTCTTATTTTTTTATTTGTTCATTGTAAGTGGTGTTGTTTATAGTAACTGAAAATATATTATTTGGAAAAAGTCAAATTTGCTTCACTGTTCTATTATTTTGTAACATTTGTAACATACCGTATACCGCAAAACCGTCAAACCGTGGTATTGTTTTAGACGATTATCATACCGTAAAAAAATTCATACCGTTACAACCTTAGTTATGACATTGACGTATTTGAAGTTATTTCAGGATTTCCCAATTTTAAGGAGAGGGGAGGTTCAAATGCAGCTTTCAGATGTTGGTTATCATAGATACCAGTTGTAAAACTTTTAAGAGGAGGGTCAACCAAACTGTGCCTGAAACTCATACGGAGCGAATGGGCGTCTTTGAGTAAGACGAGACGTAAAACAGTCATTTAACTGACATGCTTCTCAAATCAAACTGTTTACGGAGGGGACATTTTTACTTGCATCATAAAATTCTTTAAAGTTCAAAGTGGAAGCCCTTTAAATGAGTCATACTCTTTAGAGTCAGAATTCCCCAGCTTCTTAACTTTAAGTAAAGGAAGTAAGTGCCTCAGAGGTTGGCGATGAGTTCGACCCCAATGTTGCCACGAAGCAACACATAAATCAGCATCTCTGAATTTGAAAGCGACATCGGTTGAGTCGTTTATTTGCAAGATTGGAGAGAACAGAAGAGGGGAAGAGAAGAGAAAACGTTGCACCTACTCCATATAATGAGGTCAGATTCTCATACTCTGTGTGACAGCAGTCAAAGTCAGATGTTTTTGTTCAGGAGATGGCGGAGGCTGCCAACAAGCCTGAACATATTGAGCAGCAAACAGAGGAAGCGCTTTGCAAAATTACATATAAGCTCCTCTCCTGTCAATCACAGGTGCCGCCAAAGAGTCATTCCTGGAGATCCGGTGGCAAAGAGACGGTTGAACCCCTGCCAGGGTTAAGAGATTGGAACAAGCTTGTTGTCAGGTACACCAAAGGTGGAGCACGCTTGAACAGCGGCTGGGATTAAGAAAAGCTCCCTGACAGCGCCGTGAAGATGGACGTGGTGCCTCAGTGCCTATATCGTGAGGACGAACCCAGGTCGCAACAGTAAATCAAGTTGCTTCGCAACATAGCCATTAGCACATTTCTGTCAAAACCCCAAGTTCCAAGAGGCTTGGCCGCTCATGGTGGCCTATTTATGAGGCATTTGGAGGAGTTAGCTGGGGTCTGTGTGGCGATGGCGTGTAGAACTCAGTCCAGCGGGAGGTGTCTCACCTTGCCCTGTCTGGCGTATTGATAGATCCCTACGTCGAGCAAAGTACCTGGAATCTGGAGGAGTTCAAGAAAGGGATTGTAGATGAGATAAGCATCTGATTGTGAGGATGTAAAGAGTTTAACAACATGCATGCCAAGCAAGGGATCTAATTAATACAAGGTGGAAAGCAAGGATAAAGGTCTTGTTCAGGCCCTTAACCGAAAATGAAAAGTATGTGGAGTAACTTACATGCTCATATGCTATTGTGCACTTTTGCAGTTACCAAAACTGCAACTTTAACATGCTGCCAGGGGCTTCCCATTCTCAGTAGAGTCATCTGGCATTGATATGTCTTTTCGGCAGGCCATGTCAGATGAGCAATGCAAATGTTTATTTATTTGCGACTAGCATGATTCCGCAACAGCAGGAATATTGTGTTAACATGCCATCTGCATCTTAACATAACTAAGAAAAGACTTTGTAATTGTCTGGCAACAGAACAATATATTTCAATGCCACTTATAAACAACTAAGTGGAAGAAACATGGTAACACTTTATAATAACTACACACTATAAATCATTTATTAAGCATTAGCAAATAGTGAATTCATTATCTGTTATTAATTAACTCTACTTTAATAAGCGTTAGTAAACAGTTTATAACTGCTGCTACTAATGCTCTATTCTTGACTTATAAGCACCTATATAATGTGCTTAATAATTGTATTTTCATACTCTGTTAATGATTTATTTTTCATTACTAAATTAAGTATCGCATTATTTACAAACCAGTTGTATTTAAGAGTAGTTGAGGCTTTTTAGGATCATTCAGAATGAGTTAGTAAATGATTAATAAACTATTGAAATCAACACTTGTATATCTAATTTTTCAGGCATATACTAATAGTTAATTAATATGGTAATAAATGCTTTATTAACTCAACTTCATGCAGTTTTGTGACCTAATCTAAAGTGAGGACTGCTCATGCTTTATAAATCCTTTATAAATGACAAATAAAGGCTCAATTAAATTCCAAACAGGAAAAATGACATTATTCATTCCTATTAATTTACAGATACACAGATGAAACTGTGCTTCAAATAAAAAATAAATCTTTGCAAGCTTATCTAAAATAAAATCACTGTAGAGTTTATTATTAAAATTATTATATTGTTGTTGTTTTATACAGTTTTATGTTGTATGTCCTGTTATTCAGCAATGTTTAAACTTTACAGTAATTTTACTTTTTAGAAAAGATTGCAAAGATTATTGTTCATTTGATTCTAAGCCTTTAATAGTCATTTATAAGGCATTTATAAAGCATGAATAGTCCCCACTTTAGATTAGGTAAAAAACTGCATGAAGTTGAGTTAATATAGCATTTATTACCATATTAGTTAACTATTAATATGCCTGAACAATAAGATATATAAATGTTGATTTTAATAGTTTATTAATCATTTACTAACTCATTTTGAATGATCCTAAAAAGCCTCAACTACTCTTAAATACAACTAGTTTGTAAATAATGCGATAGTTAATTTAGTAATGAAAAATAAATCAATAACGAAGTATGAAAATACAATTATTAAACACATTATATAGATGCTTATAAGTCAAGAATAGAGGATTTGTAGCTGCAGTTATAAACTGTATACTAAGGTCTATTAATGTAGAGTTATTGCTTAACAAATAATGAATTCACTAGATGCTAATGCTTAATAAATGATTCATAGTGTGTAGTTATTATAAAGTGTTACCAGAAACATTCATGCAGACTGAGCCTAATGAATATAAAACAACTGTTTTCTAAACTGTACATTAAAATGGCTAAAGTTATTTGAGTATGAAAGCAGCATGTAATAGAGTTAGTTACACGCCCTAAATAAAGCTACCTACTGCACACTCATCATGAACTTGCCAATGATACTATATATTGATGTTAAACATCAAGGCAAGACTATAATATGACAAAACATCACTTGACAGGTCAAATACAAAACAGTTCAGAAGTGACGTGCAAAGCTGGTACTAATTCCCAATTCTAGTGCTGTTGTATTTGCCTGGTGTGCCACCCTGCTTCAAAAAACACTCTACTGACAATATAATAGGATGAGAGTCTGTACTTTCAACTCAAACAGAAGACCTGAAAACAGATCAGATGCTTACAGCGAAAGGAAGGGGGCAAATTATATGGCCTCAGCAATCTTATCCAATTACTAACAAGAGTGGCCATTTTAGACGAGGCAAATCAAAGGGCCAGACAGCTGTGTTTCCCGTTGGTGGACCAGGACAAGGGTACGGGTGT